CCAGCATAGGGAGGAAAGAGAAATAAGAACCCTTCTCCTGGCCCTCAGGACCCTGTGAGAACCTTGACAGATTGACCTTGGTTGCATAACTGTAAAGGAGGTCTGACTCTGCTAAAGGCCCAGCAGGAAGCTCCTCAGACCTCCAAATCAAACTTTTTGAAGTGAGGCAGGGGGACTTGTATGTTTCTGAACCTCCATGATTAATTCTGATTCACAAGCAGAGCTGCAAGCCACTGACCTCTATCAGGGCTGTCCTGCGATAACTCTGCCTGTGCCGCTCTGTCAGCAATCACCAGCTATGTGTCTGAGCACCTGAAATATGGTGAATTGGGGAAAGAGATTTTACTTGATTCTTATTAACTTAAAGTTGTTTCACATGAAGGGCTGGGGATGCAGCTCGGTTGTTAAAGTGCCTGCCTAGCATGCACAAGGCCCTAGGTTCAATTCCCAGGACTACATAAAACCAGGTGTGGTGGCACTCAAAAGTGGAGCCCCCCAACTACATAGCAAGTTTGAGGCTAGCTTGGGCTACATGAGACAGCACATGGCTAGTGGTTGTTATATAGAACAACAAAATTCTAGATGACACAAAATTCTAACCACTTTATTTAAAATTTTTTATTATGTGTACATGGTGTGATCCATAAGCACGTACAGAGGTGAGAGGACAACTTTGCAGAGTTGATTCTCTCCTGTTACCTTTGCATGGGTTCGAAGGATCAAACTCAGGTCTCCAGGTTTGTGTAACAAGTAGTTTTAACTACTGCGCCATCTCACTGGTGCCAATTTGACTTTAGACTTCACTTCTCATGATAGTAGGGTTTTTGTGTGTATATGTGTTGTGTTCATACATGTGTGTGCATGTATACACATGTAATGGAGTGCCTGTGGAGGCCAGAGGTTGATGTCAGGTCTTCCTCAATTGCTCTCCACTTTTTTATGTGCCTGTATAGTGTTGTGTGTGGCATGTATGTGTTCGTGTGTGACTATGTACATGCAGGTGTACATGCACATGTGTGTGTATGTGTGTGTAAGCCAGAGGTCAATGTCAGGTACCTTCCTCTATTACTGTCCTTTATTTATTTATTTTGGTCTTTTTTAATATTTTATTTATTACTTTTGTGTGTGTGTGTATTATCTGCATGTAGGTAAGTGCACCCATGCAATGCCTGCAGAAGACAGAAGAGGCTGTCAGATCCCCTGGAACTGGAGTTACCGACAGTTGTTAGCTGCCATGTGGGTGCTGGGATTTGAACCCCAGTCTTCTGCAAGAACAGTGTTCTTAATCACTCTCCAGCCATCTCTCCAGCCCCTTATTTTGGTCTTTTTGAGACAGTCTCCCTGCAGCCCCAGCTGGCCTGGAACTCACTATGTAGACCAGATTGGCCTTGAACTCAGATCCACCTGCCTCTGCTTCCCAAGTGCTTGGATTAAAGGCATACACCACTACACCTGTCTTTGTCCTTTATTATTATTTTTTAATTTATTTTTATCTGGTTGAGTGTTTTGCCTGCATGTATGCAGCACATGCATGCAGTGCCCACAGATGCCAGAAGAGGGCCTCAGATTACCTGGAACTGGAGTTACAGATGGTTGTTAGCAGCCATGTGGGTTCTGAGAACTGATCAGGTCCTCTGCAAGAGCAGCTAGTATTCTTAACCACTGAGCCCTCTCTCCAGACCCTGTCCTTTATTTTTGAGACAGGGTCTCTCAGTGAACCCAAAGCTTGATGATCCAGCTAGACTGTCCAGCAGACAGGGATTCTGTCTCCACACTGAAAATAAGGGCACAGCAGATTGCCTCTTTTCCCTAAGGATGCTGTTATCTACAGTGAGGAAACCTGATTTAATTAATAAGAGCCAGTCTGCTGGGACAAAGTCTGGACTAAACTAAGTACCCAGGGCAGATCCAAGCCTGAAGACTGGACAAAAAGGCTTTACTAAGTGCACTATTTTACTTGGAATTACCCTGGTAAGGAACACAAAAAGCAGCACACAATGACTTTAAATGCTGCCATGGACTGAACTATGCCCCACAGAATTCACATGCTGAAGCCCTACTGTTTGAAGAGATAGAGCCTTTAAAGAAATAAAGAACCTTTAAAGAAAGGATAATGGGCTGGAGAGATGGCTCAGTGGTTAAGAGCACTGACTGCTCTTACAGAGGACCCAGGTTTGATTTCTAGCACCCACATGGTGGCTAACAACCATCTGCAACTCCAGTTCTAGGGGATCTGACACCCTCATCTGACCTCTACAGGCATTGCATGATATGGGTGCACTTACATACATGCAGGCAATACACTCATACACATAAAATTAAAATATTTTTTAAAAAGGTTAAATGAGCCAGGTGTGGTGGTGTATGCCTTTAATCCCAGCACTTGGGAGACAGAGACAGGTGGATCTCTGTGAGTTCCAGGCCAGCTGGGGCTCCTGGGAGACCCTCCTTGTCTTAAAAAAGACAAAAAAAAAAAAAAAAAAGGTTAAATGAAGTCTAAGGATGGGGCCCTAATCCAGTATGATTAACATCCCTCTAGGGAAGGAGAGGGACACCATGGAGCTGCACAAGGCAAAGGGCTATGTAAGGACACAGAAGCCAGCTGTCTGCAAGTCATGAGGGCAGGCCTGGGCTGCTTACACCTTCAACTTGGGTTTCTGGTGGTCACTGGGAGAATCAATCCTGTTTTTTAAGCTGTCCAGACTGTGGTGTTTCTTTTGTGGCAGCCCTAGTGGTAACAAATAATGCCTTCTGGGAAAAGCAGACCCAGGACCCTAACCAGTCTCTGACAAGTCCCACTAGACACAGTGTGAAGTGACTGCTATTCATGGATCTTCGAGGCATCACGCGGGTCTCTACCATCCTCACTACCCCTCCCTACCCCTACCCCAACTCTAGGCTTTCCCTAGATCTGCATGTCCTCCCTACATACCAATCCCCTCACTTCCCAGGCTGTCTGTCCCTACTACAACATTGCATTCCATATGGCTCACTCCTTTACAAAGGTTGGATCTGTGAAATCATGCCTTGAAGCTTGGCACCAGCCTGTGGTGCTACTAGGAGATGCAGGAACTTTTAAGAACTAGAGCCTAGTCTGAGGAAGTGAGGTTACTGGGAGTGTGCCCTTGGGTGTGTTGGAGGGTCCCAGGGATACTGGGACCTTCCTCTTGGCTTCCAGCTGACATGGAGTAAGCAGGCTTCCTCTGCCACACACACACCAGCCATGACAGACGTGTCCCCAAGGACAGAAGCAACACGGTCAAGTGACTATGGACTGGAACCTCTAAATCGTAGAGCTTTTCCACACGGGAAATGTTGCCCTTGTCTTCATCTACCAGCCTCTATCACTGGTGTTTTCAGGGGTGTGTTCCATGCACCTGACTCTGCCTGCTAGACTGAAAGTTTAGACCAGCAGTCAAGACCTTTCACAAGCTGGCCCTTACTCCCCAGCTTGGCCTCCCACCTGGCCAAGCCATGGCTAGTCTACTTGTCCTACCATAAATGTGATGATGTACTCTTCTAAGCTCTCACTTCCCAGTTTCCAAGGCTACCTCCAGAGCTTTTCCTGCAGACCTCAGCTGAATATATAAGGGAACAGCAAAGCTTCCTTCACAGCTTCCTCAATGCTAAGGAAAGAGGCTGGCAAAGAGGTCGGCAGACCACAGCATGTGACGGTACGATGTTGTGAGGGAGCTCTCATGCCGACACCCTGGTGTCCACAGAGACTACTGCTTAAGGGGCAGAGTCCCCGACATGACCACTGTCTCTTTGGATACCAGCTGGACTCCTGATCAACTAGCTACAAACTCGGGACCTCAAGAGGTCCCGCAAACCCGCCAGGTTTAGTAATTTGCTAAACACACAGAACTCAGGTGAACACTGTACTTATTAGTTTTATCGCAAAGAATACACATCAAGGCCTGGGGCTGTAGCTCAGTGGTAGAGCGCATGCTTTGTATGCACAAAACCCTGGGTTCCATCCCCAAAACCTTGGAGGGTGTGGGAGAGAGCAAGAGCAAGAAAGAGAAAACAAATCAGGACCAGCTACACACAGAGACACGAGAGGTCTGGGAGTTTTTGGACACGTATCTGACCACTGCCAATGGAATCAGAACATATCACCTTCCCAACACATACATGTGTTCACCATCCAAGAAGTGTGGCAGAAGCTTGGTGTCAGGAGCTCTGGGAGGGTCTCACTGTGTAGGTAAGATTAATTAAAATCATGGGCCAAGGTCAAGTGTGGTGGTGCACACCTTTAGTCCCAGCACTTGGGAGACAGAAACAGGTGGATCTTTGTGAGTTCAAGGCCAGCCTAATACATAGTGAGTTCCTGGCCAGCTGGGGCTATTAAAAAAAAAAAAAAAATCCTAGGCCACATGGTACCTGAACTCCATCTCCAGCTCATCCAATCCTGGCATGTAGGATGAGGTTACCATTCAAAGTCCCAACACTGGCAGCACATGGCCAGTCTTTCTAGAGAGCCAGAACCCATCCCAAGTCAAATCTTGGCATAAGCTCCAGTGCACTGAGTCAAATCTCAAGTTCAGGTGTGCTTTGAGGGCTGACTCTGAGTAACAAAGGTGCTCCTGTCACTGGAGAAATCTCAAGGCTTGGTCTCCCACACAAAGGAGATTGACCCAAAACTCTTAATTTTAGACTGTTGAGAGACGGCTTGTACCCCAGGAGATGAGAACACATGCTCCTCATGAAGAAGGTCCCCAAGTGGCTCACTTTCCCAGCCCTTATCAGAGGGTACCCAACCAACCACTGAGGAGACAAGTGAGATACCAGCCTCCCTCAATCCTCATGGTGCCACACATACCAGGTGAACTACCAAACAGGCCCCTACCAAAGACTCTGGAGCTTGGCTGGGGCTTTTAGAAGTCTCAAACACGCTCCCCAAGCTACCACAAGAACCTGTTACAGTGAATAGGTAGGAGAGGGAAATCCTAAACAGCGTTCTCCCAACCTTAAAAGGGAAAGAACGAATCCAGGCAAGGAGGGTTAGCAGCCTTTAATGCTTAGTCTGAAAAATCACCAAATCCAGGCAAGGAGGGTTAGGAACCTTAGTCTGAAAAATCACAGGCTGAGATTCTCATGTCCAGCTCTTGCAGGGCCACAGGTGGAGGACTTCAAAGTGGACAGGGGCTTCCTTTGTAGTGCAGCATCACTCCCCAGCCCAGAGATAGCAAGGAGGAGGATATGGAGTGAACGCACGCCACATGCCAGGCTGCTGCAAGGCACTCTGCAGTGTCAGTCTTCACACCAGCCCAGGAGGCATCACCCCCTTTTACAGAGGAACCTGAAGCTTAGAGAGGTTCGTCAGTTTATCCATCAAAGAGTTCACAAGCAGGTCAGGCACTACAACCCCAGGACTCAGGTAGAGGGAGACAGAAAGATCACAAGTTTGAGGTTTGATGCCAGCCTGACCTACACAGTAAAATCTAGTCTCTGAGATTAGAAAAGAGGGAGTTCACAAGGTGGGGGGTGGGGTTAGCAGCAAAGATGAAAATTCTGAAGTTCACTCTTCATTTTGTTTTTTGAGACAGAGCCTCATGTATCCCAGTCTGGCCTTGAACTCCCTATGTAGCTGTTGATGACCTTGAATTCTTGATCCTCCTGTCTCCTGAGATCACAAGGGTGTGCCAGTACACCTGGCTAAGAAAATATCATGATGCCCCAAGTGTTGTCTTGGTCCCTGTGAGGGGTCAGATCAGCTGGTGGCAGCCAGTCTAGAAAGATGAGCAAGATCCTGGCAAGATTGTCCCTCTGGTTGGGAACAGGGAGGTATGGGGAGGGTGGGTTATAGAGGCTGGACTGATCAGTGAGCACTGATTGCATGTATGGCAACATTACACTGAACCCCATTAATATGTACAATTAGTGTCAACCAAGCTGAGGTAGCTCAGTACTAGAGAGCTTTTCTAGTGTTCATGAGGCATCACCAAAAGAAAAGCCGATATAAAACAAAACATGGAAGATTAAAATTTTAAAAGTCTTACCTCTAGTGGTCCCTATCTAGGATCCTCTCTGAAGAGGCTCCCAAAAAAACATTGTGGGGGGATGACATGTACAAGCCCATCTCTGCCTGTTGTGCAGAGCCAGCCAATGGAAACCAGGTGCTGTTCCAGGGAAGGCAGAGGCAGCAGGAGAGCAGCCCACCATTAGAGGACAGCAGCCCACCATTAGAGGACAGTTCAGCAGACAGAGAACACATTTCCAGCAACAGGGAGCCCAGCAAGCCCTGTTGTCCAGCAGGTGTGCATTCATATGCTGTACAAGCCTGACTCTGGCCTCCGTGGTATGCTAAGACAGGGTCGGGCACTCAGCCATTAGCAGAGGCAACAGCCCCAACTCTTGGAGTCTTTCCCTGGCCACTGCTTCCCAGCCTTTGTTGGCCTGTGGGCTTCGGGGAGAGGGATGCAGGAGCCCCTCCACCCGGACCTCGGGCATCAGGTCTGCCAGCGCCCTGCGTGCCCTCTGCTCTGCCAGCCGCCCCACTCCCACCACCAGCCGCACGCCCAGCAGCTGCACCTGCCGGCGAAGGGCCGCATCACAGATCCCGAGGAGCTGCTCCCGTTGCTTGGCTGGCAGCTCGGCCGGGGTAAGGTTGCGTCCACTGGGAGTCAAGAGGAGCAGAGGACACAGATTATGGACAAAGCAGTGCCGGAAGAAGACCTGGGGTTGTCCACAGAGGTTCCGGAAAAAGCCCCAGAATCGGGCCCCGCTCACCTCTGACTGTGGGCACTCCAGGCCCAATACTGGTCGCTTAGGATGCTCTTGGGGAGGAGTCAGTACATGCCCCTCAATGCACAACCAGTCCCGGACCACATTCACTTCCCCAAAGGGCACCTGTTGGGGGAAGGAGAGAGACACAAGGGGCTTCAGACTGGAGACCCAACCTCTTTTTACTTTCCAGAAGGATCCCAACTGCCCCCCTTCCCCCAAAGGTCAGGGAAGGCCTCCTGGCCTGTGCTTTGCTCCTGTCTGGTATCCTTCAGTTTTTCCACTGTGGACTGTGATCCAGGGGAAACACTATCCCTTTTCCTTTGTGAGGCTTTGGACCAAACACAGGCAGAACACTGGGACATGTGGCCCTACAGAGGGCATGATGCTAGTACCAGGGACAAACAGATGGCCTGAGACACAAAGGTAGCCAGGGCTGACCACTGCTCTCTGGGTACCCTCCCAGTCCCAGCCCTCAGCTGTCATTTTCATCGATCATTATTGATCGCCTTTCATCACTCAGTTGGGGGGTCAATAAAAGCGATTGAGCCTCCTGCCCTGAGGCCTTCTCCCCTCCCCCACCTGCCATGCACCCCCACTGCAGGGCAGTCACTCCTTTTGAGCCCTAGGGTAAGGCAGGCAGACCCTTGCCTGGCTCTGTGCTGAAGCCTTCCTAGGCCCACAGGCTTGCCACAAGAATGCCCCCGGCTCGTGTACACATACACTACCAATCAGTCTTCCTTGAGGACCCAGCAGTCCCTCTCCTCACCCCAAGCATGCCTTGGGAACTGGAGATCCGGCAAGGTGGCGGAAGGAAGGTCTCTCAGAGGCAATTAGTGGACAGCTCACAAGGGAAACGGAACTACCACTAATGTGCTTGGTTAACTACCAACAGAGGTGGGGAGAGTGCCTGAGACCACAGGAGACAGCGTGTGTCCTGCAGGAGATGGGTTGGGAGATCCACACATGTCCCCAGCCAATCACATGCTCCTCCTCCACAGCACACCAGAAGCCAAGCATCCACCTTGGAGCCTCCCATTCCACCCACCAAGGGAAGCCAGGCTTTACCCCAGTCTGAGCCATGCCAAAGGGTCCAGGATTCATGCCCAGGAAGAGGACTTGCTTGGGGCCCTGGCAGTAGTGAGTCACATAGCTGTAGTGTGGCTCCCATGCATAATCCACTGGGTTGTAGACAACACCCACGGGCTCTGGAAACTGCAGCTGGCTCAGCTCAGCATTGAGCCGAAGTTCCTCCTTGAGGAAGTCCTTGGCCAAGCTTCGAGTGCAGGGCTCAGGCTCCATCTGGGCACCTGCAGGCTCATGGGCAGGTCCCAGCGGGCAAGTCTGGGGCACAGCCATGCAGCTGTCACCTGGAAGAGAAGTAGAGCCTCCTTCAACCTCAGCCCAGAGTGGGAGACCCCATACTAACTAGAGCCCCCACTACCATTTCCTGGGCTCAGAGGAGACCCTGAGAAACCATCAGTCATCCATAGCCCATTCCAGTTCTTGGTAACAAAAGGCCCTTTCCTTCCCTTCCAGTGTCCTTCCTCTTTCTGTATATCAACCTTTCTTGCATTATTTGTTTTGTTGCAACAAAGTACTTGACAAAAGCAACTGAAGAAAGAAAGGGTTTATTTGGGCTCACAGTTAAGAGTACAGTCCCGCTGGGCATGGTGGCTCAAGCCTTTAGTTCCAGCATTCGGGAGGCAGAGGCAGGTGGATCTCTGAGTTCAAGGCCAGCCTGGTCTATATAATGAGCTCCAGGTCAGCTGGGGCTACAGGGAGACCCTGTCCCAAAAAGAGCCCCCCTCAAAAAAGAATACAGTCCCTCATGGTGGGCACATCACGGCAGCAGGAGCTTGAGGTGACCAATCACGTTGCATCAAAGAGCAAAGTGGTATCTGTGCCTGATCAACTAGAATTCTCCTCATGCAGTTTGGGGACCTCAGCCCATGGGATGGTACCACTCACATTTAGAATGGGTCTTCCCACTTTAATTAACCTAATCTAGAAACTTCTTGACAGACATGCCCAGAGATTTGTCTTCAAGGTGATTCTAGATCCCATCAAGTTGACAATGTTAGCCATCCTAGGACCCCAACCCAAGCTTTTCATCAGGGGAGGTCTGACTCACTAGTTCTTAGGCTAAGCTAAACACACAGGTCATGATCTTTACCTTTCGGTGGGGGTTTTTGTTTGTTTTGTTTTGGCACTGCTGAGGATTAAACCTGGAATCTTGCCTATGCTAGGCAAGTGATCTACCAGTATAGTCCTAGTCCTTTCTTCATTTGAGATGGGGCCTTACTGTTACTCAAGCTGGCCTTGAATTCATTCTGCAGCTTAGGCTGGCACTGAACTCCTGTTCCTGTTGCCTCAGCCTCTGAAGGACCTGGGACTGCAGCCTGCATCACCAGCCCTGACTACTTAATGCACTTTTAATAGGGTCACATGTAGCCTACAGTGGTCTCAAACTTGCTATGTAACTGAGAAGGGCTTAAACTCCCAATCCTCCTTCCGCTACCTCCCAAGTTCCAGAATTACAAGCTGCACCATGCCAGGCTACATTTTCAATATACAGCTACTGGTGGCATCCCTATAATATCAGCCTTAAAACTAGTCCAGCCAGGATGAGCACGTCCTGGAAAAACTGTGCTGACGAATGAGATGCAGGTGCACAGCCACAGCCCAGAGACCTGGGAGGGCTAATTACAACAGCTTCCAGGTGGCAAACAATTGCTCCACACCAGGTACACCTCATTGATCTTCATAACAACCCCAGGAGGTGGGTATTATTGCTCCCATGTTACAAGTGAGGAGACTGAGGCTTAACAAGATCAAGCACGTTGCCCAGGGTCATGCAGTTAGCAAGTAATGAAGCTGGGATTTGAACCTACACTATCTGACTCAAAGCTATACTCCTAGCCACCCACACCATCTTGCTTCAGATGGTCTGATCAGCCACCCCACTAATTCTACAACCCCCTAACCCCAGCCCAGCTTATTTCCCACACTCAAGAATCCTCAGTGGTGAGGATAATTACCAGACTCTGAATAGAGTCTTACAAGCCATGCAACCATGGCCAGAGCCTTGGAATTTCACATCTGAATACCAAGGATAGTAAAACCTACTTCATGGTGCCGAGCTAAGAATAGGAAGAGATACTATGTGAGGTGAGGAGAAGGGAAAAAAGGGGAGAGGAAGAGGGGAGAGAATGGGAGGTGGCAGGAAGGAGCTTAGCAGCAAGTCTTACAAACTCTGCCATTCCTTCCCGCCCTCCTATGCACAGTATTCCTCCCTGGCCATTTCGCTCACTTGCAAAATACCGTTGCCCGTGCTGTTCCTTCAAACCCAACCAAAAACACTCCTTGAGTTAACCAGGACATGACCATACCTCCCAATATATCTAAATCATACTCATCCTTCAAGATGCAGCTCAAACCATCTCCTTGATAACATTTAGCCTCCTCAGTACAAGGCCACATTCCTCAGAGCGTCCCAGCCCTAACCCACAAGCTAGAACTATTAAATGATGGCTCAGTCTCTAGCTGGTGCCACTAGTGAGAGATGACTGAATATTGAGGCTGCTAACCTCAAGGGCTGTTGGAGGTGGGGCCTGGTTGGAGGAAGTAGGTCCCTGAGGGTATATCTTGGCCCTGGCCCCTTCCTGTCTCTCTCTCTCTGCTTCCTGGCTGACATGATGTAAGCAGCTTTGCCCCACGGATCTTTTCCACTATGATGTTCTACCTCAACATAAACATACAGCCATAGGGCCAAACAGGCACAGACTCAAACCTCTGAAACAGTGAGCCAAAATCTACCTTTCCTCCTATGCTGTTTTCCTCTGCGATCTGTTATAGCTATGAAGAGCCTGGTATAGCACATAAGAAGGTCAGCTGTGAAACCTGGGCATATGTATCTTGAACAAAGTGATTCAGATGCTGCCAAAGGCTGAGGGCTTCTGTGCACTACCAGAGTGACTTCATTATATTCACCCTTGCCTCCCCAACTAGAGGAAGGGAGCTCAGGAGCCAGGCCCTGACCAATTAGGACCTGCAAGGTCCTAAGTCTTATTAGGTACCCCAAAATACCTGCCTAGTTCTGCCCACTTCTACTTTACTAATCTTGTATAAAGCCACCTTCTAACAAATCTTTTTTTTTTTTTTTTTTTTTTTTATTATAGTCACCCTCGCCTCCCCACCTAGAGGAAGGGAGCTCAGGAGCCAGGCCCTGACCAATTAGGACCTGCAAGGTCCTAAGTCTTATTAGGTACCCCAAAATACCTGCCTAGTTCTGCCCACTTCTACTTTACTAATCTTGTATAAAGCCCCCTTCTAACAAATCTTTTTTTTTTTTTTTTCCTGTGCTAGGGATGGAATATCCAGGGCTAAACAAGCACTTAACCATTGAGCTACCCCTCAGCCCTAAGGAACCATTCCTGAAGGACTCCTCTCTACCACCACGTGGCCTCACACACACTAAGCTACATCACTCACCCTTTATTTTTAAGGTCTCTCTATGTCCATGCTGGCTTTGAACTGTTATTTTTTCTTGGCTTGTTGTTGTTTTAAGACAAGGTCTCACTCTATGGCCCAGGATAGCCTCAAACTTACTATATAATTCAGGCTGACCTCAAACTTGTGTCAGTCCTCCTGGTTCAGAGAAGCTGGGATTAAAGATGCGCACCATCACACCTGGCTTCCTCTATGCCTCTGTATTCAGAGTTCAGCCTCAGCTGTTTACTCACACTTTGTTTCCTAGGGGGTTACCAGGCACAGGGTACACAGGGTATATGTCTTCATCACACCTAGTCGAGAACAAAGACCATTGTTCTTCCTCCTTATCAACCTCCACCCAAGTCAAAAGTGATCTATTCCCCCAGATGAGGTGGTTGTGTCCAGAATGATACAAAAGCTGGGCCTGGTGGCACTTGCCTCTAATCCCAGCACTCCGGAGGCCTCAAACTTGTGGTATTCTTCCTGCCTCCTGGTGCTAGAATTGCCAGCATGTGCCACCAGGCCAGGCCAGGAGTCTTTAACTGATTTGTCCACACAGGTGACCAGAACCAGGTGGAAAGCTGAGAACAGGGTGAACTGAAACACTCCCTGGGACCTTGTTCTGCACTTTCCCACAGAGAACATTGGAGGGAGCAGCGCCAGCCCCTGAGCGCTAGCTCTGAAGTCCCTCTCCAGTCTAAGATGGGTCTGCCCTGTGCCAAAGACAACAAGGATGGACATACACAAAGTAACAAGATCTTATTTTCACTGATTTTTAAAGACCCACAGGCTGAAAATCAGCTGACTTAAATTTTAGCTCTAAAAGGTCTCATCCCTCCCCAACCCCCCAAGGCTGGAGAGCATCAGAGATCAACTAGATACACCGGGAAGAGGGAATTTCTTTCATTGGACTGGCCTGTGGGCATGCCTATAGGCATTTTCTTGATTCTTAAGTGATGTGGGAGGGTCCAGCCCACTGTGGATGGTGTCACCCCTGGTCAGGTAGTCCTGGATAGTATAAGAAATAAGGCGCAGCACAGTAAAAAGGAACATACCAGGAAGTGTCCCTCCATTTTCTGCCTCCAAGTTCCTGTCCTGACTTTCCTCAGTGATGGATTGTGACCTGGGCACTGTATGCTGAAATAAACTCTTTCTAAGTTGGTTTTGGTTTATCACAGCAATAGAAAGCTAACTAGAACACTCCTTCATATATTTGTTGTGTATATATGCATAACATAGTATGAGTGTGGTCTGAGGACAATTTGTGGCAGTTGGTTCTCTCCTCCCACTAGACAGATTCTGTGGATCAAACTCAAGCGTTAGGATGGTGGCAAGTACCCTTACCCACTAAACCATCCTGCTGGCCCTCTAAGAAGGTTCTCTTAAGCAAGTCATTTAAATCTCTCTATGAAAATCATATACTCCATCAAGCTATCACTAGCTGTTAACTTATTTGAGTCTCTTACATGGCAGTCTTTTGTTGAGAAGGAATTCCAAAACGAGTAAAATTAAAGTGAGGCTTTCAGTAAGCTATAAACTACTTGAAGAGGACAGATAAGGGCTGGAAAGATGGCTCAGTGGTTAAGAACTTACTGGTCTGGCAGGAGACCCGGGTTCGAATCCCAGCACCCACATGGCAATTAACAACTGTCCCTAACTCCAGTTCCAGGGGTGTGCTAGGGATGGAATATCCAGGGCTAAACAAGCACTTAACCATTGAGTTACCCCTCAGCCCTAAGGAACCATTCCTGAAGGACTCCTCTCTACCACCACGTGGCCTCACACACACTAAGCTACATCACTCACCCTTTATTTTTAAGGTCTCTCTATGTCCATGCTGGCTTTGAACTGTTATTTTTTCTTGGCTTGTTGTTGTTTTAAGACAAGGTCTCACTCTATGGCCCAGGATAGCCTCAAACTTACTATATAATTCAGGCTGACCTCAAACTTGTGTCAGTCCTCCTGGTTCAGAGAAGCTGGGATTAAAGATGCGCACCATCACACCTGGCTTCCTCTATGCCTCTGTATTCAGAGTTCAGCCTCAGCTGTTTACTCACACTTTGTTTCCTAGGGGGTTACCAGGCACAGGGTACACAGGGTATATGTCTTCATCACACCTAGTCGAGAACAAAGACCATTGTTCTTCCTCCTTATCAACCTCCACCCAAGTCAAAAGTGATCTATTCCCCCAGATGAGGTGGTTGTGTCCAGAATGATACAAAAGCTGGGCCTGGTGGCACTTGCCTCTAATCCCAGCACTCCGGAGGCCTCAAACTTGTGGTATTCTTCCTGCCTCCTGGTGCTAGAATTGCCAGCATGTGCCACCAGGCCAGGCCAGGAGTCTTTAACTGATTTGTCCACACAGGTGACCAGAACCAGGTGGAAAGCTGAGAACAGGGTGAACTGAAACACTCCCTGGGACCTTGTTCTGCACTTTCCCACAGAGAACATTGGAGGGAGCAGCGCCAGCCCCTGAGCGCTAGCTCTGAAGTCCCTCTCCAGTCTAAGATGGGTCTGCCCTGTGCCAAAGACAACAAGGATGGACATACACAAAGTAACAAGATCTTATTTTCACTGATTTTTAAAGACCCACAGGCTGAAAATCAGCTGACTTAAATTTTAGCTCTAAAAGGTCTCATCCCTCCCCAACCCCCCAAGGCTGGAGAGCATCAGAGATCAACTAGATACACCGGGAAGAGGGAATTTCTTTCATTGGACTGGCCTGTGGGCATGCCTATAGGCATTTTCTTGATTCTTAAGTGATGTGGGAGGGTCCAGCCCACTGTGGATGGTGTCACCCCTGGTCAGGTAGTCCTGGATAGTATAAGAAATAAGGCGCAGCACAGTAAAAAGGAACATACCAGGAAGTGTCCCTCCATTTTCTGCCTCCAAGTTCCTGTCCTGACTTTCCTCAGTGATGGATTGTGACCTGGGCACTGTATGCTGAAATAAACTCTTTCTAAGTTGGTTTTGGTTTATCACAGCAATAGAAAGCTAACTAGAACACTCCTTCATATATTTGTTGTGTATATATGCATAACATAGTATGAGTGTGGTCTGAGGACAATTTGTGGCAGTTGGTTCTCTCCTCCCACTAGACAGATTCTGTGGATCAAACTCAAGCGTTAGGATGGTGGCAAGTACCCTTACCCACTAAACCATCCTGCTGGCCCTCTAAGAAGGTTCTCTTAAGCAAGTCATTTAAATCTCTCTATGAAAATCATATACTCCATCAAGCTATCACTAGCTGTTAACTTATTTGAGTCTCTTACATGGCAGTCTTTTGTTGAGAAGGAATTCCAAAACGAGTAAAATTAAAGTGAGGCTTTCAGTAAGCTATAAACTACTTGAAGAGGACAGATAAGGGCTGGAAAGATGGCTCAGTGGTTAAGAACTTACTGGTCTGGCAGGAGACCCGGGTTCGAATCCCAGCACCCACATGGCAATTAACAACTGTCCCTAACTCCAGTTCCAGGGGACCCAACAGCCTCTTCTGCCCTCCTCGGGCATTGCACGACATGGGTGCACTTACCTACATGCAGGCATAACACTCATACACATTATAAGTAATTTTTTTTTAAAGGGGGACAACCCTACGATACTGACCTTTCTATTAACTCCAGGGAGTTTATTAGAATCCCTGCCACTAGCTTTCCCTTGGAGGCACACCAGGAACCCACGGGTACAGTACGCAAATCCTTACACCAAAAGCAATGGAGTTTAAGGGCTTCAAAGGCCCATTTGGGTCTCAGTTCGAGGCCGCCGCCGCCGCCTTGGCACGCACGGAACCGCACGGAACCACCTGGAACCCGCCAAGCCGCAGACCCCACCCCGAGCCCTCTCCGGCCTCCTACTTCTACACCTGCTCCAGCACTCCAGCACTCCAGCGCTCCAACGGCTTCCGGTTTCTTGCCCCAGGCCGGGCGCGAAGGACCCTGGGAATCGTAGTCCACACCATTTGGAGACGGAGAATGGCTAGTCGAGGCCACTTCCGCCGGAAATGCCCAAATCCCCGGAAGGCGTGCTGTGAGCGCCTCTTGTCTCTGGGTGATGTAGTTTATTCATATCAGCATTAAATCTAGAAGTCTTGGGAAGGGAGAGGCCAGTTCATTCTCAACCATCAGGGAATCCTGCCGTCCTCGATCTCTCATGCACCTGAGGGTACGGACAAGGACCAGAGACCTTTTCCAGCCCTCCTTCCACCCGAAGTTTGAGACGGCCTTTGCAGCCCTCCAAGGGGCCATTACTGTGTGCAGAACATCCACGAAAGTGTTCCTCTCATCTCCTAAGCCTTTGGCAGCGAGCATCCCCATTACCGTCCAAATGCACAGTCTCGACATTTGGACTTGTCTCCTGCTTCGGCCTTGGTATCTGTCCAGCCCTGTAACCTGGGTTGGGGTTCCCTGAGATGTGTTATTGAAATGGGCCCACAGAACTTTGGGAGGTCAAGAGTCTAGACGTCTGGTAACCTACTGCCTGGTAAGCTGGAGGGCCAGGAAAGCCCTCGATGTAATTCAGTCTGAGCCTGAAGTAGGTTTACACAGGCACTTTGATAGACGTTTCAGAGGCTTAGTTGGGCGTGGGGGTGTACGCCTGTAGTCCCAGCAGGGAAACAGAGGCAGGCAGATCTCTGAGTTCAAGGCCAGCCTGGTCTACATAGTTCCAGGACAGCTGGGGCTACAGGGAGATCCTGTTTCGAAAAAAAAAAAAAAAGGAAGATCTGAGAACCAGCGTCCTGGAACAGGTCTCCCATGGTGTCCTGGGGCAGAAAAAGATAATGCCCTCTTTTTCCAAGAGGCAGAATTAGAAGCTGGCATGGCCAATGTGGTGGCCCACATCTTACCCCCACCACCTGAGTAGCTGGAGCAGAAGGACCATCAGTTTGTGGCCAGCCTAGGCTACATAGCGAACCCTTGGAGAAGGCCCTTCCGCTACCCTTTGTTCCAGTGAACTCTAAGGAGGTCGGATGCTTCCCATACATGTTGCTACTCTCTTCCAGAAATACTTTCCCAAAACAATCCCAGAAATGCTTTACCAACCTTCTGGGTGCCCCTTAGTCCAAATCAGTGGACATATAAAAGTAATCCTCAAATCCTCATACCTCCCATCCTTCCAAACTCCTTCTAGAACAGTCTACCCAGGAAGTCTTCCCCAACAAATCTTAACCCTCAGCTACACCATCTGTTCTCCCACCTCCCTATCTCAGCACCAATTTCCAAAACTGTTCAATTCCTAGCTTTGTTCCTGTCCTCTGTCTGGAGGTTTCTGTGTGCTGACTAGGGCTCCTTCTGGACATCACACACACACACACACACACACACACACACTCAAACACACTTAAGCAAATCAAGGGTTTGATCACCAAGGAAAGGTCTCCCAGTGGGCTGTAGGGAAGGAGACCAGTGAACCCACAACAGGAGGATGTGAGAGAACAAGTCCTCTATCCCCTTCCCGAGTCTGCTTTGGTCTCCTATAAATGGGAAAAAAACAGTGTATATAGTGTATATAGTGACCCTCAGATGTTAAGGTGAGAAAATACCTTCACTCTTGTGAGATCTCACACTGCTGCTTTTTTATTGAGCTGTGCTATGCACCAGCCTCTCCCCACTGTGTCTTGCCTCTCTCCCTGCCTGTGCAAGTCTGTCTCTGTCTCATCAAGTCTCTTCTGTAGCTTTCTATCTGACTCGGGGGGGGGGGGCTCTGTCTCCCTCTGGGTATATCTTGCTGTCTCTACTTCCTCTGAAATGGATAAGAGAACCTAGAACAGGTTCCTCTGTCTCCATAATCTAAATAATTTCCTGTCTCCAAACAAAAGTATGGAAGGAGGAACTTCACCCTAGTGTCATGATTTAAGAATTCTACAAGGTGGGGCCGGAAAGATGGCTCAGTGGTTAAAAGCACTGACTGCTCTTCCAGAGGACCTGGGTTCCCAGCATCCACATGGTGGCTAACAACCATCCAAAACTCCAGTTCCAGAGTATCAGATGCCGTCTTCTGGCTTCTGTGGGCATTGCATGCATGTGGTGCACATCCATCCATCCATCCAGGGAAAACACCTAATTTCTTTTTTAAAAAAAATATTTATTTTTATTTTATAAGTATGCATGTATTGCCTGCATGTAAGTAAGTGCACCGGTGTGGTCCAATGCCTGTGGAGGACAGAAGAGACTGTTGAATCCCCTGGAAGTGGAGTTACAGACAGTTGTTAGCTGCCATGTGGGTGCTGGGATTCAAAACCCGGGTCTTCTGCAAGAACAGTCAGTGTTCTTAACCGCTAAGACATCTCTCCAGCCCACCCCCCACCCCCCACCCCGCCTTTTTTAAGTTAAGAATTCTATGGAGTCTGGCAAGGTGGGATACTCCTGTAATACCACTCTGAAGGGGGGAGCAGAAGGATCAGGAGTTCAAAGTTATCCTTGGCTACATAAGGAGTTTGAGGCCAGCCTGGGCTTTGTGAGATCTTGTCAAAAAAAAAAAAAACAAGGAGAAGGCAGGAAAGAAGAGGGAGGAAGAAATATGGATTCGCCATCCCTTTGGATACTCTCGCCCCCCCCCCCATATCTGCTTGGCTTGCTCGTTCTTCAGTCTGTGGTCTTGGCAGCCCCTCCACACCCCAATTTGGCCTCTGGGCGAATAATGAGTAAAATGAGTGAGCGACTGACGGAGATCCCACAGTATGCCCACCGCCTAATGTCAACTTCCTGTTAGAGGAAGCTCAGAGACAGTCCTAGGGAAGGCTACACCGCCGGGTGCCCCGGTCTCTATGGCAATGGGGCGCGCAGTGGCGGGCCTCGTCCCTCTGGTTTCCCGGCCCTCCGGGAGCCTGCAAGGAACGTACTGACGGTGCCTCGTGGGGCAGGGACGGCTGCAGACCCAGCCGTGGCCAAGGAGAGGCTGGCAGGTGGGTCTCTGGGCCGGAAGGGCCTGCACGGGTGCGGAAGGGTTAACCCACCTTCTTGTTTTGCGGGGTTTCCTGAGGCTGCCTGGGCTGTGTTGGGCCACGAGCGCCATCTATCGGCCGCGGGGGGCAGCCGGCCGAGCTCACCACAATTTCTAGGCCGGCAGCCCTCTCCCCGTCAAGGGCCGTTGGCTGCAGAAAGCATCAATTGCGCGTTGGAGCAATGTAGTCCATCCACATTTTCCTTTCCCCGGTAGCAGGTGTCACCTGGCCAGCTCTCTGAGGAGCCCCAAAGGGCTTTCTGGAGTTTCTCTCCATTGCACTGAACCGAACCCTTTTCTCCCAGCCAGGCCAGCAAAGGAGGGCAGCATTGGCAGCAAAAACCGGTGGACACAGGTTATTCACTCCTCCGTGCCTCCAGTATTCCAGCTGTAAAATGGGGGCGATCTTTGTTATCTAAATCTCTTTCGTGATAATTAACTGACAAGATGCTTAATACGAGGCCTGGGACAGACGCTGCTGTGTGAAGGTTACTCGCTGTTGCTATGACTACAAGCAGGGTTGCAGGCAGACGCTGAGCTGAGCAACCTCCTGGCCAAACACACAGGCACAGGACTAGCCAGCTCACCCTGGGAGAGTTCAGCAAAGACCACAGATGCCCAAGCTAGGTTTCAGGTGGGAGTTCAGGGCTGCAAGAAAAGTCTTTCAGTCTCCAGGGTGGACAGAAGATGCCATGAAAGGGTCAGAGAAAGAAAGGAAGGGTTTGAGGTAAAGATGCAAGTGGGAAGGCAGGGTGTAGCTCAGAGGTGGAGTACAGAATAGCATGTACAAAGGCCTGGCTTCTATGCACATGCGTGCACATAGAGGCACACAAGCTGAATTACTCTAAGGAAGAGACATTAGCAGGCTCATAAAAGCCCCCTTTTCTGCAGGGTGTGGTTTCATACACCTATAATCTCAAGTGTGAGACCAGCCTGGGCTATAATCAGACCCTGTCTATTAAAAAAGAAAAAGAAAGCCAGGTGCGATAGCACATGCCTTTAGTCCCAGCACTTGGGAGGCAGAGGCAGGCGGATCTTTGTGAGTTCGAGGCCAGCCTGGTCTACATAGCGAGTTCCAGATCAGCTGGGGCTACAGGGAGACCCTGTCTCAAAAAGACCAAAAGAAAAAAAAGGAAAAGAGGCTGGTGAGATGGGTTAGTGGGTAAAGGAATTTGCTGCCAAGCCTGATGACCTGATTTCAACTCCCAAGATCCACATAGTGGAAGGAGAGAACTGACTCCTGCAAGTTGCCCTAAGACTTCCACAACCATGCAGTGTGTATGTACACACACAAAATGAATAAATAAATACACACAAACAATGTCCTGCTTTCAGAAGAGGGGGGCAGGCCTTGTGTGTGAGGGAACCTGGAGTACTACATCCCAAGGACCTGTCCTTAGGGCAGGCTCAGAAGTGTCAGGGGTTAATCAGCCCCCTCAAGCCTCCAGGAGCATGTGTCACAGGCTACTCCAGCTCTGTGGTGACTAAACTCTCCTGTCTTGTCCCAGCCTGGTAGATAAGAGACTCAAAGTAGAAGAAGCAGAAAGGTTTGCAGGCCCCATCCCCACCTTCCTCCCTGAACTGGGGAAGCAGGGAGGCTGAATTCAAGGCAGGCAATCTCCCTGTCTCTGGTCTCTAGGTCTGCCTTCCTCTACCTTGCAGGAGAATCGATATGTGGACTTCCCAATGGGCGGAAAGATGCAAACGCAGGCCTAGGGTCTGGGGCTCAGGCTCTACTCCCCACCCTCTGCCCTAAGGCTGCACAGCACAGCTTTCTGGGTTGAAACCCACTTAACTGGAGGCAACAGCTTCCCAGTCTCCCCAACCTATATGTCCCCCATCTCTATCTGCTGGCACTGGATGCCTGTGTCCTCAGGAGAGGGGTGGGCAGATTTGCATTGCTTAGTT